CTTTATACATGAATTTCTGTTAGATTTTTAAATAAAATTTCTAAAAAACACATTTTCCCTGCTGGGCTTCTGGCTGTCGACTGATGGGGTTGATGCCACATTCATCACCTTAAAACTAACAATAGTTAAATGTGCACAAAGGGAAGGCGTCTGAAACCTCAAACTGTTGTTTCTGCTCCTCTGTTGACTCTCTGAATACCTGGACAGGTGTGTGGATGGGTTAAAAGTCTCTCTGCTATCTCATGAATCATGGAGATTTTGTCTTCAGCAAATACAGTTAAATGTAGACTATAAAGTATTTCAGTTTTATAACATATTGTGTCTCCGAGCAGATGCTGCCGTCTTTAGTTTCTGTTCCACCAACTGTTAATATTTCTTCAGGTGTATATTCGTCTCATTCTCCATGTTTCTCTTTCCGTCTTCACAATGAATCCTCTAGCAGGCAAATCACAGGATGAACTTGTTTTCATCGCCTCCACCGACATTTTTAAGAGAAATTCACAGAAAAATGCTTTTAATGGTCTCAATCTTTTAGTTGGGTTTTTTTTATTGCAGAAATTGATCTTCAAGTTGCTATCCTGTCTGAGTCTTTTACACTATCTCACTTTGTTTTACAAGTTGATTTTAAAAGTCTTCATGTCTGACTGAAAACGTCTCCAGAGCCGGTGTCTAGATGGTGGATGATGGTAAATGCAGCCACATCCTAACAGCAGCGGTCTGTTTGTCTAAAGTACAGTTAAAGCTGTGAAATCTGAGGCTTTTTAGAAAACAGACTGAATGTAAAAACTGTGAACTGAAGGAAATGTTGAAGAAGCTCCAGCTCAGAATATTAAATCTGAAACTGGACGTTTCTTCTACCTTCCTGTTTTATATAAAGACAAATGATTTTTATTGGTTTCTGAAATATGTGATTAAATATTTAATATGTCATTTGTCATACAACAGTAAGTAATGTTCCTAATTTATCGACAGAACTTGTTCATCCTTCCTGCTGTATGCATTTTAGATGTTGACCTGAGACCTGGGTTCTGAGCAGAGATCAGCTCCCATCATAAGTTAGTGCTTCACTGAAGCGTCTCCATCATGAAGCCAGTGTGATTCAGGGAAACGCTGTGCAGCGGCGCTGAGCCGTGTGTGTGTGCAGCAGCACATGTGTGTGTTGTGCCTGAAGTTCAATGCTTCCAGTGTTGGCTTCACAGAGGCCCATTCATGAAGCTGCAGCAGTTTGTGGACTCAGCAGCCTTCAGGTGGTCTTTGGAGCTGGAAGTGTGACGAAAGGGAAGCAAAGCAGAGAGATGACTGTTAGTGTTGGCTCCTCGCTCACACCGTAAACTGTTTACTGCTGCGCTCTGGTCGTTTGATCGGACCGATCATTCAGTCGCTGCTTCTGTAGCCTGTGTGCATTAAAGCTGCATCGCTGATGTTTGTTCAGGGTTCCTGTGGATGGTCAGAGGAGAGAACAGACCCGAGCGTAGGGATATTTCACAAGTGTCTGTTAGAATGCTGAGAGTCCACCGGTGAACCTTTCTGAGGCTTCGCTGTGTTTCTACACATCAGGATCCTCAGACAGGATGCTCTGAAAACGACTTCCTGGTTTACAGACAGACGCTTCGTCGTGTGCTTTCTGGACACACTGCAGCAGGTGTTTTTTACCTGGACAGGTTCATCGCCTCCTGACCAACAGCTTCATTACAACAAACACATTCTGCTGAATCAGTTCCTAGTTCCAGAGAAAACAGGGAAATGATCGCTCATTGTTTACTCCTGTAGTTGGAATCATGTTGCTGAACGGCCTCAGATTTAATTTAATCTTCAAAAACATGTGTTTTTAGGGACCAAAAAATAAGTTTGTTAAAACATTTTGGTTGAATTTTGAGAATTTCTTTGTTTTTACACCAACAGCGCCGGAGCTGATGATCCGTGTCTCTGTTCAGGTTCAGTCACATGAGCCATGAACACAACATGGAAGCATCACCAGCAGACGCTTCATCAACACCAGCTCTTGTGCCGCCATTTTGGACTTTCTTCCATTTTCAAGAACCAGTAATGAAGCTGTGTCATCTGCTTCAGTCGTTCTGACCGAAACTGTTCTGTCACCACATTTCTGTCTGAGTTGTGTTTCTGGAGATATTTAACCCTGTTCAGGACTTTCATACATAGAAGGTCTTTTAGAAGGTCTTTCAGGTCCAGTGGACCCCAAGAAGGAACATGTGTATTAGTTGGTGTTCATTACAGACTTCTGTACTGTGTTCAATACATTTTCTGATCAGCTGACATAATTTTGCATGACTGATGTCCCTCTTTTCATATTTAAAAAAAATCTTCAAAAATAAAACAACACCTGTCACCTAAACCAAAGGCCAGGGGTCCAGCAGACCCCCAAAGTCCTGAAGAAGGTCAGCCATTTCCTGGATCTGAAAACAGATGAAATTCTACAAACTCAGCCAAAATATTAGAGTTTTTGTCCCAAATAACAAACAGTAAACTGAAGTTAAAGTGGGACGGTGCAGCCACTGAGAACTCTGAACACATTCATCAGATCAGTTCCACGCCAACGTGCTTCTGCTCTTTTCCCGTTTGCTCTGAGCTTCTCTCCACAGCTGGACAAACTGGTTATCGGAGTGTCAGCATGAACCAGCAGATGGTCATCCTTTAACTTCTGTCATCAACTAAAGCTTCTCTGCAGTCTGAAACCAGACCAGCATCACGACTTCGTCTCGTGTTGAAGCTGCTTCCACATCATGGACCGACTGAAAAAGTGGAGGTTTCCTCATCAGGAGCCAGTCAGTGTTCATCAGCTGATCCTGATTCAGTCTTTCTTTAATCAGTTTAGTTTTAAATGCTGCAGCTGAGTGGAGACTCACTCTTTATAGTTCCTACTGGTAACGTGTTTGTGGTTATGATGCCGTTTTTATCGATGGTTCTGAAGCCGATTTAAAGTGAAGATGTGTGTCTGTCGTCACGGCTCCAGTCCATCAGACGTGTTCAGTTTGCTGAACAGTGTTTGGTTGATTCAGACCTCCAGACGTCCTCATTCGTCTCCTCCGTCACACATCTGTCCGACGCAGCAGCACATCTGCTGCACGTGTCGCCAACGGTTCCACACATGGTTCTAAGCAGAACATGTGCTGCTGCTACTGTTCAGGCTGCTGTCACACGGAGGGACCGGCTGCAACGAGACGTGCTGAAAGTTTGATTGATGCCAGACAGGATATTTCACATTCACTTTATTTGCACATCAGAATCTGTTTGTTGACTTCAGGAGAAACTGTTTTCATTAAACTCTTGGACAAAGCTGTCGTTGCTCTGGAGGACTTTTACCAAGTCTGTTGAAATCACAGCAGTCAGAAGGTCTGTGGTGCTAAAGACATCATTTAAACTCTTTAACTGAAGGCGCGTGTTTGCAGGATGGTTCATTTCTCTGAAGTGTGCTGAGTGTAAATATGTAGTTTCTTAAATTATTCACATGGAATTAGAATAAATTCATTCACAGGGATGCAGGTGTGATGTTAGAAAATCAGCTGTTTCTTAAAATGTTCTCAATACAATCAGTTGTTTTAACAGCAGGGACTGTTGCAGTTCAAGATTCAAGATGAACTTTATTGTCCCGGCGTGCTGCTGTTCAGCCGACAGACAGGAAACACAGTCAGTAGATAGAACACATGAACACATCAAGGAAAAGCAGAATAAATGAAAACCATCGTCTGACTTCATGAGTCTGAAACATGGCCCTGAAAAAAACAAAACACAACTCGAGCTATTTTACTGATCGATTCACCTGATCAAAGCCAGAACAAGGGCATTTTTACATCTGGTCAGTCGGCAGCGTGGGGCGCTGAGTCTTCGTCCAGAAGATAACTGCTCAGGATCACTCAGGATCTACCTGGCCAGGCGCAGAGCTTCCTGTCCAGGTGTGTTGTGGGAGGGCTGCTCCTGCTCACCTGTGATGTTCCAGGCAGGTGGACTAGAAGCAGCAGCTTGTTCTTCAGCTGAGCGGAGAGGCTGCCGTACCGAGCTGGATTGTCATGGTGTTTCTGAGTGCTCAGCATGTGTGCTCCAGGTGAAGGTGTTATCCATAGACACCCCCAGATCCCTGTAAGAGACCCTGAGCATCAGTGTGGTCGTGGATGACCGCCGGCCTGTGCTCACCAATCCCTGTAGTTGTGCCTGTGTTTAACACTGGGTACGTGTCGTCACACCGCTCAACGGATCTTTGAATGTCTTGGATTTAGTTGTGGTGCCTTCCTTCCTTAGGAAGGAGAAAATTGCAGTGTCATCTGAAAACTTAGAAAATGATTTCCTGGATGAAGCCTCCTGCATCCGTCTGTCTATAACGTAAATGAAAGTGGAGAGTTGCCGGAGCCCTGCGGCGCTGCCCGGCTCAGGGTCCAGTTCTGTGGTAGGGACCATTCACGCTGACTAGTTAGAGACGACTGGTACCATCTGATGACCGACGGCTGCACATCACTCAGCTTCTTCATTACAAGGTGTGTCTGAAGTGTGTTAAACGCTGACCTGAGATCAGTCAATAAGAGACGGGCACATAATGTGGAGTCCTTGCTGGTGAAGCGTGTCCAGTCAGGATGAGCAGCTCTTTGGTTTTAGTCACAGCTGTGATGTTGCTGCTTGTCTTTATTTCTGTGATTTAAATCCATGAATGTGTCCCCGTCTCACGTCTCATGATCGGATCTGTCCTCTGCTTCCCTTTCCGTTTTACAGACGTCATTTCTCCGACACACTTCAACCCGTACTTCAGGCGGCTGACCTTCGACGTGTCCTCAATGGAGAAAAACGCCTCCAACCTGGTGAAGGCCGAGCTCAGGATCTTCCGTCTTCAGAACCCCGGAGCCCGAGTGTCGGAGCAGCGCATCGAGCTTTATCAGGTACTTCAAGGAGCTGCTGTGGTTTTCTGCAACTCTATTCTTGATAAAAACAACAGTTTGTCAGCCACAAACTGCAAAGCAGAAAGAACACTTGGATTTCCAACATTCTGATGGTCCTTGAACTAATCATGTGTGATTGTGGTCCAGATTGACCTGAACCAGAACCTTATCCAGCGTCCACTAACTGTGGCTAGATTATATCCTCCTGTGTTTTACTGATTACTGCCCACAAGAAGAACCGTCCGTTCACCGACATGATGCAGAATTTGTCCCCAGAAGTAAAGTTTAAAATTTCTGAGTTTTTCAAAGGTTCCTTTGCAGAGAACTTTATTTCAAAAAAGAGTCAAAGTCCTGCCGAAAATACAAATTCATACAAAATATTCATCTGTTTCTTTATTTATAAAAACGTTTGTGTCCCTTCTGTTGAGGTCACAGAGACGCTCAGAGAACCGGTTCTGATCCACTGTAGTCTGACCCTGAAACATTCAGACTGGATTCGACTGCGTGAGAATAAACTTCATCCCTGAATGTTGTGCCGCTGTGTGGGGCTACAGGCAGGCCTGGGGCACCAGGGCCTGGGGCACTAAGGCCTGGGGCACTAAGGCCTGGGGCACCAGGGCCTGGGGCACCAAGGCCTGGGGCACTAAGGCCTGGGGCACCAAGGCCTGGGGTACCAAGGCCTGGGGCACTAAGGCCTGGGGCACCAGGGCCTGGGGCACCAAGGCCTGGGGCACCAAGGCCTGGGGCACTAAGGCTTGGGGCACTAAGGCTTGGGGCAATAAGCAGCCCGATGTTGGCCCAGGTATAAACTGGACCAGAACATGTGTGGGCTGTAGAACAGGACCTCCTGCTGTGTGGTTCGGTTCTGGAGCTGCTGCTGAAGAGTCCAACTGGAGGATCTTCAGAGGTTTAAGCTTGTTGTCGTCTGTCGAAGCAGCACATCGTAAAAACTCCTGATTCTCTGAAGCTCAGAGTCTCAGCAGCACAAATAGTGTTTTACACATTAGGCCCAGACGGGCCAACACAAACACATGGTTCTGAAGAACAGCAGAATAAAAGGCGTCTGTCCAGTATCTGGTTTCACTCAGTGCTCCTCCCAGACCTGCACAATCCATCAGACGCTCTGCTGAAGCTCAGCTACTGACTGCTCTGTTCATGCTGCTCATGTGGATGAAACGCTGTCCGGCTGCACTCAGACCAGAGGAGAGCTTCATGTGTCTGTCATGGTGCTGTGACATCTGTCCAGATGTTCCAAACACATGCTGCTGCCTTTAGAGACTTAAAAAAACCTGATCTTCTCCTGAACTTCAGGTTGTGAAGATCAACTGGTCCAGACGGACGTCCAGCAGAATCCAAAGAGCTGCACAACAGCTGCTGCTGATGTTTGTGCAACATGTGCTGGAAACATCCAGACATCTTCAGCAGGTGCTCAAAGAAAACATCTGCACGAAACCTTGATCATCTGCTGTGACTCCGACCAGCGCATCGAGACGGGTTTTATCTTTGGACTCAGAACTTTAAATCGTTTCCATAAAGCTGACGAGAGCTGCAGGTTTACGGACAAAACGATCATCAGGATTATTTATCAAATCATTCTCTGGTTGCATTTTCACATTTCACCAGAGTTCTGCTTCGACTTTCTGCTGATGTTCACTCTGCATCAGAACCAGCAGAACAGAACCTGCAGCTGAATTCAGAGAATCACCTGCAGGCTGAATACGAATTGCACTGAACCAGAACTCCTCCCTGAACATCTGCTGATCTACACACTGCAGTGTACCGATGTTCCCTAAACGCCTCACAGGCTCCAGTAGATGAAAAAGTGTTTTTCTTTTGTTTGTCCTCAGGTTTTAGGACACAAAGACTTGTCGTCTCCGACTCAGCGCTACATCGACAGTAAAGTGGTTCGGACTCAGACGGAGGGCGAGTGGTTGTCCTTCGACGTCACCGAGGCCGTGAGCGAATGGCTGAACCACAGAGGTGAGACTTCATGAAGCGCCACATGTGGGCAGCTGTGGCTCAGGTGACAGAGCGCTCGTCCTCTGATCAAAGGTTGGTGGTTTGATCCCCTCCACAGCCAAAGTGTCCTTGGGCAAGACCCTGGACCTGGAGCTGCTCCTGATGGCAGCCTGCCTGGAGCTCTGTGGACGTCGGTGGATGAATGTGTGTGAATGAGAAACACTGTGAAGCGTTTGAGTGCTGCTCAGACAGAACGGCGCTGCCTACGTGCACACAGTTCAGCATGTAGAACTGCTGCCGTCAGTTTATTCAGCATGTCTGAAGTTTTTTTTTTACATCTTTACAGACCGTAGGAATGTATTGATCCGTTGATCCGTCACCACTTTTGTTTCTCCACAGACAGAAACAGTGGATTCAAGATCAGCCTGCACTGTCCCTGCTGCACGTTCGTGCCATCAAACAACTACATAATTCCCAACAAGAGCGAGGAGCTGGAGGCTCGGTTTGCAGGTTATTGATTCCAACACTGTAGAGAAGGAGGCTCAGTGTGGTGTTCAGCTTTCACTCACTGCTGATCTGGAGTATGTAAACCTGTTTTCTGTTCTCATCTGGAGCATCCAGACTAAGATCCTCTGTGGACCAGAAGTCTGTGACGTGTCAGATCCTCCTTGTGGTTCTGTCTTTCTTGGTTTCAAATCTGTAAAATTAGAGCACATTGTTGAAACAAATTACAATTAAAATGTTAAAAACAAAAACTTTAAAGAAAGACAGCAAATGTCAGCAGTGTAATGACTCTCACTACCAGAAGGTGGCGACAGAAGATCTGCAGGTTTAAAGCCTTTCGCATTTGCAGCAGAGATGACAAACTGGCGGCCATGTTGGTCCAGACTGCTGTTTGTTGCTTCGTGAAGCCAGCAGAATGAGCTCCACTGACTTTAACGAATGCTGCAGGACCTAGCTTGGATTTGGGAGACACTCTGACATCAACTGCTTCAGTCTGTAGAATTTTCCATTCACCTGCAGTCAGATGCAGCTTATTGATCGATGGTTGTGTCTCCAGGTATTGATGACAGTTTCATCCACGGCGGCGACCTGAAGGTGTTTAAGAAGCGACGCCACAGTGCTCAGGCTCCACATCTGCTGCTGATGCTGCTGCCGTCGTATCGACTCGAGTCTCAGTCGCAGCACAAGAACCATCGGTCCAAGAGAGCTCTGGATGCTGCGTACTGCTCCAGGTACCGACTGGTACCCATAAATCCACTCAGATTCTGCTGAACTCCTCCTACATCTGCCCAACTGAAATTTGCTGCTGGAGTTATGGAAGAACTCTTGTGCAGTTTATTCAGTGGTAACTGACCAACCGATAGTTCAGACAGATTTAGGGCTTCGGGTGATTTAACCTTCTGAGCCTCAAACACACACTGGTTGGTTGGAAACTATTTTGTCTTCAAAGAAGTCACCAGAATGTAGCCATCAGCTGGAAACTGTAAAAACAGAAAGAATTCAGATTTTCAACTTTCTAACAGTCCATGAACTGCATGTGACAGTTTATCTTGAACGAGAACTGAAGTAGAATTCAAAAAGCCCTTTATTCAGTTTGTCTCTTTCAAAACAATAAAGTACCTGCAGCAGATCCTGTAGAACCAGAACCTTTCTCCATCTTTCTACAGCTGATGGTGGAACA